CAGCACCGCTATTCCACAGGTTTGCCGTGAAATTGAGAACGCCCACTGCAGACTTATTTAAGAGCCTGCTCTCAGATTTTGTTCCTGTCTGTAGGACTTCAGGGCCCTAACTGTCCTCCTCCTTGTACTGCGCCTGCCTGCTACCCAGCTGCAGCACTGTCAGAAGCTCACTCAGCCCGGGGGAGTAAACTCTGATGTCAAAGCTGCTTTGAACTTGCAGTGTGATACAAGGTAAAGCAGGGAAGCAACTTGTCCTATGACTTTCTCATTAGCAGCTTTGTCTGGGAAGGCATGTTCCTGCTTCTTTTTGTGATGGATTGGTGCTCCAGTGCTGTTAAACATCTCCAGTAATGAGCTGGATGATGGTATAGCATATACCCTCCGTGAGTTTGCAGATGACACAGAACTGGAAGAAGCAGCTGATACAAGAGGGGGATGCTGCCATCCAGAAGGGCCTGGGCAGGCTGGAGAAGTGGGCTGACAGGAATCTTGTGACGTGCAAAGTCCTCCCCCTGGCGAGGAACAACCCCAGATACCGGCATGTGCTGGGAACACCCAAACAGAAAGCAGCAGGGCAGGGAAAGAATATGGGCGTCCTACCAAACACCAAGTTGAACGTGTAAGCTTTTGGGAATGAAGGCTAATAGCGTCCAGGTTGCCAGCACAGTGACGGAGGTCACTCTTCCCCTCTGCAGAGCACTGGTGAGGCCACACCTGGAGTGCTGTGTCTGGGCTGGGGCTCCCCACGTGTAGTGGGTTGACCCTGGCTGGTGGCCAGATGCCCAGCACAGCTGCTCTGTCACTCTCCCTTCTCAGCCATACAGGGGAGAGAAAATATAAAGGGCTCGTGGGTCAAGATAAAGGCCAGGGAGATCACCCAGCACATGGGCAAAACAAACTCGACTTGGGGAAATTATTAAATTTATTAACAACCACATTAGAGAAAAGCAATAAGATACAAAAAACAAATCTTAAAATTAACTTTCCCCCACCCCTCCCTTCTTCACAGACTTTACTTCTAATTTATTCATCTTCTCCCCCTGAGCAGTACGGGGGGGCAGGGAATGGGGTTGTGGTCAGTTCATTAGATGTTGTCTTTGCTGCTCCTTCCTCCTCAGGGGGAGGACTCCTCACTCTCTGTGAGCTGTTGTGCCACAGTAGTTTGTTTTTCTTCCTCTGCTTCTTACATATGTTACCACAGAGGCATCATCACCATCCCACCCCCCCCCCCGCGGCGGGCCCGGCCCCGGCCCCCCAGCCGGTCCATGTCTGGAGCTGACTGGCATTGGCTCTACCAGACCTAGGGCAAGCTTCAAGCAGCTTCTCACAGAAAGCCACCCCTACAGATTCCCAGTACCAAAACCTGGCCACACAAACCCAATACACCAGCACAAGAGAGGCATGAATGTACTGGAGAGAAACACCAGCAAAGGACCACCAAGACGCTACAGGACCGGAGCATCTCTCCTGTGAGGCAAGGCTGGAGAAGAGCAGGCTTGGGGGAATCTCCTCAATGTTCATAAATGCCTGAAGGGAGGGTGCAAAGAAGAGGGAGCCACTCCCAGTGGTGCCCAATGACAGGACCAGAGGCAGTAATAGGCACAAACTGAATTACACGACGTTCCCTCTGAATGTGAGGGAACACCTTTTCACTGTGAGGGTGGCACAGAGAGGTGGTGCAGTCTCCAGCCCTTTCAACCTCATAGAATGATCCTGTGAACTCTGAATAAAACTTGAACGAACACTTCCTTGCTGATTTGGCTTACAGAGCTTCTAATTTGGGAAGTAAGGAAAGGCTTAACTAGTTGGCAGCAGCACACGCCTGCTCCCAGACAAGCAAATGCTACTTCCTGCCCAACAAAGCTAGGCTAGTGTCAGGGGAATTTGTTACTACACAGAGCACCCTTTTATAGGCTAAGGGATACAAAGAAGCTGAAAAGAGCTTCATTATCCTGTTTCATAGTGCAAGCAGGACCTTTTAGGAGTAAAATTGTCATGCTCTTTTACCTTCAGCAGCACCCATCCCCTTGCATCTTGCTCCATGGGTAGCCAAAAAATCCCCATATACAATTCCTACTCTGCCTGTGAAATAAATAAAGCCTTTAGGCCCCCACTCTCCTTAGTATTTACCTAACGCCGACACTCACACCCAGGTTTGCTCAGTCTGTCTCTCACAAATTGCCATAATCCACAGGGCTACAGGGTTTATTCACACCTGTCCACTGAGCACATGAGCCCACATCAAGAGTAACTGTGCTTACGAACTCCCCAAACCCATGCAGAGACTAGGCAGAAAGCAAAGGAAAGCTGAAGGGCATTTGTAACTGACTTAGCATCACCTTTCCTATAAATCTTCTGCAATATATGCTCTTTCTCTTCTTACTCCAGACAGAACACTGATGACACCAAACTGCCCCAGATCAAGAGGCAGGCTCTGTCAGTCAAGCTCATGGCTCAAAATCCTCAGCAATATGCAGAATCGTGGATTCACAGGCTCTGGCACACACACATGGAGATTGCCTCGTCTCTCAGAGCACATGCGAACGTGGTTGCATCAGAAAACATAACTTTTTTCTTTTTGAGACAGTCTTCAGCTTCCAGCTGGTCATTCTAAATAGTACTAGAACACACAGGAGTGTTTGATTTTTCCTTGCAGATGACAAGCTAGTAGTGGTATCAGAGCAAAACTAGAACCTGTATCTACAGGCTCACGTTACTTGGACAAAGTAACATACACCCCAATAACATTTAAAAGAAAAGAAAAAAGTTGCATCCCCTAGTTGCACGACGACGTGCAGGGATCTAAGCTCACTTATGGCAGTGGATCTTCCACATCCATTCCACCCACGCACGGCTCACCCTCAGTTCAGAAGCAGGAGGATGAACTGACCCGAGACTTTCACTGCGCTCCCCTCGCAAAGCACTTCCCATTCCTCACAGGTGATGGAATTCTCCAGCTCCAAGAACAACACAAGGCCCACAGGTGAGCAATGCTCTCTTTAATATTATTTACAGCACTAACTGTTGCCTTGTTCAAGTCTTACGCACAGGTCAGTGGCATAACAACTGGCTGATTCTCCAGAGAGAAAAATGTCTTCCTAGATTACATTTAAAAAACCTAACATATATATATTTTAAAAACAAAGTTACATGTTACATTTAAAAAAATCTAGCATTTCAAGATTATCAATGTACTTTTGCGCTGACTGCCAGCAATTTTACCAGTTACAGCTACAGCCCAGGAGGTAAGTTTTACTATTGCCCTTACTTAAGTATTAGTATGTTTTGCTTTTTTGTCTTGAGCACTTGATGCAATAACCTTTTAAGTTTTCAGCAAAAAGCATAAGAAATGCCCCATTTTCTTAGACTTTTCAGCTAAAGAATGTACTTCCATCTTTAAACATCCAGGATTCTGACAGCTTTATTTGCTACAATTCCTTTTATTTTAGAGAACAATATAAGATATAGTTACATTGAGGATTAGCAGTTCTGTGGAATCAGAAGGCAAAATGAGCCACAAGTTCAATGATACTAAAAATATTTCATCAACATCTCCTGTATCAAAAGTATCATTTGCCAATGGAGCTTTTCAGATGTATTATTGTCTGATGTCTCTGAACCACCAGTGTCTTTTCAGGCAGGAAAAATAACCACTTTTTGCTATCTAAAAAATAACTTTATTGCCATATATAAGGAAGTAAAAAAATGCAGTAAATGAAACATTACATCTAAACAAGGAACTAAATACTACAGTTGTGTTTACAGTAAACAAACAATGCAGTATGAGGAGTGAAGCTGAAATTTTTCATTTCTTTAGGCTGATTTGAACACAGACCAATCAAGTGCACTGATCATGCTGAAGGAGGTCAGCCATCAGCTGACAGACAATGCTTGCACTAGGATCAAACACTCCAGCTAAAATGTGATTTTATTTAAACTGGAACAGATATATTAAGTCAAAGAAGTTATTACTGTTGCAGGAAAGCATTCTAGAAGAGCTGAGGGCAGGAAACAGGGCAACCGATTCCAATCTATGTACATCTGTCTCATCACTACAGACAAACCCTCTTTTTTGTTGCATCCTCAAAAAAAAAAATGGTCAGACTTTACAAGAGTCAGGTGCACATTGTGCATTAGTCAGGGTCTCAAATGGAATCATCATCTGGACCAAACTGAAGAGCCTGGAAGCTTCTTTTTATCATAGTGTGCTCAACTAGGTTCACAGGTACATGAAATTTTAAAAAAAAAAATCTTACAAATAATTATTTAACGCTTAAGTATGCCATGCCCTTTTGGGAAAATAGGAAGTTAAATTGAATAAACTGGGAAAAAAACAATGTGCAGCATCACAGCACTAGGAACTCAGTCTATGTAGAAGAGTTTTTATATGTTTTAAAATATTGATCCCCTGAGGCCTGCTTCAGTTAAAGCTGGTCTGAAGACATTATGCACTTATAGGAAGAGGGCCCAGGTAATAATTTATTTTAACCTGGAAGTAAAACAAAAAGGAAAACAAAAAAAATAACAAACACTCAAGCAAACAATATGCAAACCCTACCCCTATCCCCGCCTCCCCTGCTGCCAAACTAAAAAACAAAACCACAACTGTATCTCACCGCCACATTAGGCGGTTTTATAGCAGGAAGTGCCAGCAGATGGGGAAGAAGAGTTTTGTTACTAAGAAGCAGTGTGACACTATTTAATTAAGTGTAATTGGAAAAATCATATTAAAAAAAAAAATCAAACACAGCACAATCCACTGGATTACAAAAGCCTCTAGCATTAAGCTGAGGACAGAGTAGCAGTGGAGAAGAGACAGCTTTCCCATTCCACATAATTCACTCATTAAAAAAAAAAAAGTTTACTGTATTTAACAGTAATAGACCATCAACCACTTCTAAGTGTGTCTAGTTCCTTGTCTGTTCAACTTCCATGAACACTTCTGGAAGAGTACAGACTTCAGGAAAAAAAACACAGCTCACTGAAATTGCTTCAGCTACTCTGCTAGAAACAAAAGTATTTGGAATTAACTGATGGTATATTTAAGCATCCATCTATCTAACTTTAGACCAAGAAGTCAGGTTTCTCTGGAAACCTAAACTGAAAATTGAACAGATATCACACTCCGTGCATTCTGACCTCGTTAAAGCACAAACACCAATAACCTGCGACTGACAGCAACACTCCAGAGCTCGTTGTAAAGTCAAGCTATGGCTTCCAGAGCTTGAGGAGACCATCCTCGCTGTATGTGGCAATCAGGTTCTGATGGGGATGATGAGCGATACCAATGACATCTTTTTCATGAACCTAGAGGAAAAGCAGAAAGATGCACCAGGAGATTCATCCTTTAGCAGATTCAAGCCAAATTGCTCTTCAAACAAGACTCAGAAGAAAGCTGGAGGGAGGTTTAACGTGCTTTGCACATACAGCAAAACCAGAGAAATATGGCTCCCCCCCATATTAAGTTCCATTTGCAAACAATTTTTTTTGACACAGCAGTTACTTTTTGTCAGGTGAGGGAAGGTTCACTGAGGTGAAGTAAACCGAAGCCCAACATCTTTAAATCTAACAACTCGGTCAGATTCTCCATCAGCAGCAGCCCAGGTCAAGACATGCTCTAGCTCAGAGAAGTTTGAACCAACTAATTCTTGGCTTGGTGGGTAAACATTTTCATAACTTTTAATTTTAACATAGTTTTAAAAAGAACTAAGGGTATTCTACAGCCAAGTGTCCTGGAATGCATCTGTTACCAATCATGGCTGCTAGAGGTGAAGGTGAAAGATTCCTTGGTACAAGACTCCTCCATATGGACATCATAAATAATGCACTTTTAGATATTTTTTGTGTTTGGAACTTGCCAAAGCCCCAAAGCTCGGAACTTACAGTCAGAGTTCTCTCCAGCTTGCCAGTCACTGTGCTAAAGCAGTAGAGCACAAAGTCTTCACCAACACAGTAGATCCATTCACCACGAGGTGAAAGCGCACAGCAGACAAAGTCACCACCTTCTCTCTTACCAGAGCTAAAGCTTCTTACAATCTGTAAAGATACCCCCCCAAAAAAATATTTGGCAGGATTAAAATGCAGCACATTATTACCATGTTCTGGGCAAAAATATTTAGGCACTACTAGCTCTGTCTGGAGCACAGAATCACTCGACAGCTACGATCACTTCCTGCAAGTCAAGCTGTTCTATAACCTGAATCATCAAATTATAGAAAGGTTTGGACTGGAAGGGACCTTGAAAATCATTTAGTTCCAAACCCCCTGCCATGGGCAAGGACATCTCCTGCTAGACCAGGCTCAAAGCCCCATCCAGCCTGGCCCTGGACACTGCAGGGAGGGGGCTTCCAGAGCTTCTCTGGGAAACCTGTTCCAGCATCTCATCACCCTCACAGTAAAGAATTTCTTCCTAGTATCTAACCTAGATTTACACGCTTGTGGTTTGAAACCATTACTGCTCATCCTATCACTTCTTTATCAGGAGTCCCTCTCCAGCTTTCCTGTAGGCCCCCTTCAGGTACTGGAAGGTCTCTATAAGGTCTCCCTGGAGCCTTCTCTGCTGCTGAACAGCCCCAACTCCCTCAGCCTGTCCTCCTAGGAGAGCTGCTCCAGGCCCCTGATCATTTTTGTGGCCTCCTCTGGACCCCCTTCAACAAATCCACGTCTTTCTTGTGTTGAGGGCCCCAGAGCTGGACACAGAACTGCAGGTGAGGTCTTGCAAGACCAGAGGGGCAGAGCAGAATCACCTCTCTCAACATGCTGCCCACACTTCACTTGCTGCAGCCCAAGACACAACTGGCTTTCTGGGCTGCGAGTGCACACTGCTCTGTCACATTCAGTTTTTCACCCACCAGCCTCACTGGTGTACGTGTCCTACACCAGCCTGGGCACACAGCAGTGTGTCATGAAAGCAAACTGGATAAGTCAAGTTTAAACTAAAGCTAGCTCATTAACTAGATTTTCTGCATTCTTAAAATCACTGAGACTTGATAGAACACCAGTAAAATCACATACTTGTCCCTGCATATTCATAATGACGACTGTATTCGATCTGTTGCAAACAACAAAGTGTTCAGGGTTTTTAGGCAGCAGAATGACACTGTTCACAGTAATGTCCGTCCCAGCAGTGCTGCCAAGAGATTTGAAGGTGTTTGAGCACTCTGTTGTCTTCACATTCCAAACCTAGTATGGAAAATAAATGTAAAAGCAATTAGCTTTAAAAAATTGTACACAAGGTTGATTCAGGACACAGCATTCAGATGTTTTTAAGGCTCAAGAAGGGTGACATTAACTCCAAACACTGTAGTCTGGAGCAGATTTTAAAAATAACCATATCTATTTTAAAGTGTGGACACCATGAACAATTTCAGAACAACTGAACAGAAAGGGAAACTCCATTATCCAAATTCAGGCTGGCTCTTTCATCGATGTATTCCCTGAGGAGTGAGTCCAGACTTGCTTTGTAGTGTTAGCTGGTATCTGAATATATGTGCAGGCTCTGCACATGCAATTTGCCTTACACAAGACAGACATGAAAAATGCTGAAAGAGCAAAGCCTCACTGATATCAGTGGGAGAGATGACCCATCTTAGAGCTGCTTCAGGCTCAACATCAGGCTGTTTTAGCAGCTTAGAAGCAGGAAATGGAACTGGTCAATCAAAATTTTAACAGAACTCAGCCTCTGCAGAGTTTTTTTGTTGTTTATATACTTATACAATCAAAACGAAAGATACTGCCTTCTTATGCTGTTCCTGCAACTGGGGCAGTGCAGCCAAGAGTGCAACTTTGAGGCAAAGCCCCATTTAATATGAACAAAATCTATCGCATTCTCAAAGACCACATCTATAAACCTAATCTGTTTACCCACACTGCATCAATGCCTTAATACAGCTTTTTCCACATTCATTTATTTACTCTTAGTCAGTAAAGCCCTGCACAGGACCATGCTTTACTTCTCTTAACTACTATCCACTAAGTAGAGTTCCACTCTTTGCTGAGACTAGGAGCCAAACCTATCACTTCTGAAATCAGTTCCATTAATGCTAGATTACCTAGCTTACATGGCAAGGGGCTTCAAAGCACCGAGAAATAGACACGTGTCCAACACAGTACACAAGAAAACATCATTATTTCAGACAAGGGAATCCCCACATTTTAGGACAAGAGGTGACACAGTCAGTTCTGTTCCTAGAAAAAAGCAGGAATAAGGAGGTCGGTACTGCTCTTACGTCTTCATTTCATAAACACAACCGAAGCAAGCTCTGCAGCAGTCTGTAGGCACAGTATGAAACTTCATAAGTTCTCATTTACGCCAATCTACAGTAAAGGCCACAAGCAGAAAGACTCACTACTGCAGATAACCCCAAGTTCTTCTCCAACGACTGCAGGCATCAAACAAATCAGCTATAACATGTGAAGAGTCTGAACATGGTATTCACAAAAGGTAAATGCTATATCTTACCTTCACTGTGCCATCAGAAGATGCACTGATAATATAGTGGCCGTCCTGGGTAAAAGTAGCTTCATTGACAAAGGAAGAATGCCCACGGAATTCCTTTAAAGTTTTCCCAGATTTTAAACCATGAATCCTGTCACAAAACAGAGGTCACAACTGAGTAAGCAACTGAGGCAGTCTGAACCCTCTGGCTTCACCACATTCTAACTCTGAGATACCTCTGATAGGTAACGATAAAAAGTGCTAAATATTTGCAAGCCGTAAGTCTGTCTCACAAGCCCCTTTCATCAAAGACACTGTGCTCCTGTGAAAAGCTCTGGGAAATACCATTAGCCTTCAGCCTCAAGGACCTGTACATAATATACACCATAAACAGTAGAAGGCAGGACTATGAAAGAGGAAGCTATGAAGCTGACAGAAAAACCCCTATAGAAATAAGTTTGGAAGTCTCTATTCCAAACAGAGTCCTCTACTTTAAGTGAGGTCAGCTTGCTCAGGGCCTTGACCAAAGCTAATAAACTAAAAATCTTTCCTTACACCCAGCTAGAATTTTTCTCTTCAGCAAGGTGTTGCCCTTCATGTTTCTTACTCTGCAACTCTGTGAAGAGTTTGCTCAAAGGAAATTATATTTTTAATCTGTATCAGCCTTAAGTGCCTACCCGCTATTGAAATGCACTTTTCAAACAGAAGTCTGAAGCCTTATTCCATTTGAAGCTTGTTGTCATTTGATTCTACACCCAACCTTACATTTTTTCAAAAGTTTAGCTGCTTAATATGAAAATTCCTTTTTATTTCCTTCTGTACTGTAATTCTCACATTCACAGTTTACTTACCTGATTGTCTGATCAAAAGAAGCACTAAGAATTTGGCTGCTGTCTTTAGAGAAACTCAGGCATGTAACACCTTTACTGTGTGCTCGCTCAAATCTTCTCAGACACTGACCACTCTGGATTTTCCACACCTGGAGAGGAACCAGCAAATGAAGGAGGTGGTTACTTCGTTACAAGATCACAGACACTGAAACATCTGAGCTAATGGAACTGCAACATGATTGCAACTCAAATTGAAGCCTACTGGTGACTTTCTCTGCCAAGACACCACACAAAAAGACTCGTACCTTGATCTTTCCATCTTGTGCCCCAGTCGCTAGCATTTCTGTATCTCTGCTGAAGCACATGCACAGCACTGCATCATCCATCATCATAAAATTATCTTGCGCCTGGTACTTCAGATCCTAAACGAAAGCAGGAAATCCACTTCAACAAAATCCACTTCAACAAAATACATTTTAAGGCCAAGTGCAAAAGCACTAGCAGTTTTAACTCCAGTTATACTTTATAACCTATCATCGAGCAGGCCTCACAAACTTACAACAGCAGGGGAGTACTACTGCCACCATCTTAGAGGCAACAATGATCCAGAAAGGTAAAAAAAAAAAATTATCACAGAAGGAATTCTACAACAAAACAGACAATTAAACCCAAGTAAAGGTTCCAGACTGCTGTCTGAATCACCCAAGCAGAAAACCCTTCCATATGCACAGAGTTCAAGAAATAAAAATAAACATGAAGTATAATCTCAAACAATAAAACCAGGTCCTCTGGTCAGCGAACAACCCATGTGAGATAAGGTGCAATCTACCTTCCTGATCTTCCCAGTAGTGAAGTTCCACACTTCAATAAAACCATCGACAGAGCCAGTAACCAGATACTGCCCATCCGGGGAAAACCGCGCACACTCCACATGCGATTTCTGCCCAAACTGTTTTACAGGGGAAAATAAATCAAGGTTAATAAGCAACTCATTAAAACAAAACTATACTCTCATCTTGGGGGCAAAATTTAGTATTTAGTACTAAGGTACAAAACCTCCTGTCAATATCTACATCCTAGCACTTTAAGAACTAACAAAATCCCACCCTACTCATGATCTGGTAGTACCTATGAAACTCACATCAAACAGTCCACACTTACAGCAGGAGTTGGCTTGGCTGCTTTTTGTGTTCTTGCAGTGAATTGTGTAGGTAAACAAACACCGGTAGCCAACATGCATAGCTAGCAGACTTCAAAATTTCTAAAGCAGCACAAGTTGCTTCACCTGGAATAATGTTTCTCTAGTAAGATTTTCACAGAGAATGTTTGGTACTTTTTATACAAAATTTTTAAATTTTTAAAAATAACCAAATCATGGTAAGTGAGCATAGAATAATGTTTTCACTAATCAATACAAAAATCCAATATCAGTACTGATACTAGTAAGTACCAATAAGTTCTAATAAAGCATTTCTATCAAGCTGCTACTGAATCACGACAAATTGAATTCATGAGTTCCAACTCAGGACTTCCAACAAAACAAAAAAAAAAACCAAACACACACCCAAAAAACACCAAACCCAAAACATTATCCCCCATTTGTTGTGAGGGCTGGTAGAGCTACTACAGTGAGCTAACACTTTTCACGGTACAGAAATGTCTGGTGAAGATGAAAAGCCTTCACTGGAGGAAACTGTCTGTTCCACATTGTGAGTGCTGCAGAACAGCAGAGTTTTTCCTCTTTCAAAATCCATATGATAAAATTCTTAAAAGGAGATACTGATTATATTACCAGACCTGGTATGTAGTAGTTCAGGATCAAAACTTAATTGGTTCACAGAAGCTAATATGCATGCACAAAAGTTTAAGAAATTAGTACTTCCTTGTACAAATAAAGGAGAGTGAGCAAACCACTTCAGAAAACTGAATTATTCTGAACAGTGAAGTCAAAGAAACAATATATTTATGATATTCACAAATACCAATCTTGTTAAGTGACCTCATTTTAGACTCTCATGAAGTTTCCTGATTAAATAAAGTGCAGAGAAAAAGTGGAGTGGGGAGAAAGAAGGAAATTACTTACAAAAAAGGGAACAGATGAATTCAAGTGGTTTACTCCTAACTCCCAACATAAAGGATCAAGCAGTAATAACAGACATAAAAGCAAACAACATCACCTTAATATGTCTGCTCAGCTGTGTGGGGAACTTTTCTTCTTCCACATCCTTCACAGCTGCTTTGCCTCTGAACAAGTCAATGGTCATGCCAGGAGGAAGCAGGCCCTGATGTTGCTGCCATTTCAGTGCCTTTTTGAGGAGTTGAAAGCCACACCATTAGAGATCAGTTAGCACAAACCTTGCTCACCAAAGCTTGCTTCTAATTAACACAATACAGCAATAGTTTCTTGTACTGCTACAAATTGTACATCAGTGCGTTTTGGCACAGACTTACCAGATTACTCATGACCACAAACAAAACAGAATGTTATCCTCAATGTTTTTTGCAGGTGAGAATGAATCAGGCCCACCCCTCTTATTCTATTTTCACATGCAGTATACAGTACTACACTGTACATACCGGAGGTTAGAGAGCATCTGTCAGCATTTAGTGGCCAGCCCAGCCCTAACCCATAACAATGCAGTAAAACCAAAAACGACACATCAAGTTTTCTTAGAAGACACAAGCATCTTACACTACCCCCTTCAGAGAGCTGCCTTCAGTTACAGGACATACCTTTTGCACAAAGAGAATTTACTCAGCATATTTACAAGCTTAAAAAGTAAGATGCAAGCCCTAAAATGGCAAAATGCCTGCATAAAGGATTAATAAATACCAAGAATCAAAAAAAACAATACTGGAAACAGTGGGTGTTAGTACAGACTTTGAAAATAATCTTCTGTGTCCACAGACTATTAACAGAAATAAATCTCCCCCAGAGTGCTGACTTTTCCTACAACCAAAGACCTCGCCACGTGCAGGAAACAGCATTTTAACAATACCACAAGTAAATATGCAATATTTAAGCTTTACTTTTATAGAGTCAGAAAAATCAACTCCAGCACAGTTTTACATGGCGAAGATCTACAGAAACCAACATATCTATTAAAGTATCTTTCAATTATTACCTGCCCCAACAATGCCATAAGACGAGACGGAGGTACCACGCTGACTTCTCCAGCTAAAGCCTGTGCAATAGCAGCTCTCCGCTTCTCTTTGCTACTTCCGTCTGGGTATGCCTAGAGAGAAGTTATTTTTATGAAAAAACTCTTCTAAATTATTTTACATAAAAACATCCATTGCTCTGAACTGAAGCTCTTTCCAGATTAACTTTCAGTTAGGCCTTCAAAACTGCCTTTTTCTTTAACACCGACCTTTGAAAATTTTGGGATATGCTTTAATTAAAAATACCTAACTAACACAATCAGAAAACAGTGCCTTGTCATTATACAACTATTTACAAAACATACGTTTTCTTCTGCATATATAAGGCAGGAAAAGCAAGACACAGATTTCATCCTGTAACAGGATACAGGTATAAAGCCCCAGAGCCCCACCTGCAGTATACTTCAAAACCATTACTCTGCTTCCTCATGATCAAGTATTACACATCATTTCCCAAACACTTCATAAAATGTGTAAAAACACATTCTCACTCCCAGAACAAAAAATAAAGGATGCTGTAAGCTGTTAGCAACTAGGACCAATGCTAGGGGTCATGCAAGACAGCACTGTGAGCTGTCTAGGAAGACTAAAACATACCTCACGAGGATCAAAGTAAGACCTGGCCAGAAGGTTTTCAAGGTGGATGTATCGCTCTGGCTGAGTTTGTTTTAGCATGATCATGGGATCTGTTTGCCTCAGTAGAGATCTAGCAGCACCCAGTTCTCGGAGCTCAATCAACTCCAGCACAACCTGCATCAAAAGACAAACATTTGCATCGGCGAAGGGTAAGTGGAAGACGTCAGAGAGAGGCCTCCAACTCTGTCGTGGTCTGAGCCCACCCAGCCAGCAACACAAAAACAAAGCTGCTCATTCCCTCCTACCCTCTTCCTTATCAGGACGAGGAGAAAATTCCAACAGATATCTTAAATACACCTTCCCACCACCACTCCCTTCCTCCTAACTACATCCTACCCTCCCCAGCTGCACAGGGGTGCAGGGGACGGGGGTTGTGGTCTGTCTGTTACACACTGTCCTCCCCTTCGTCCTACAAACAACTCTCCAACACAAAAGACAGGAAAAAGAGGCTGGCCCAAGAGGTCTCCACTCTTAAATATATCGATTCACAGAGGTGCCGACTGGCTTGACTTTGGCCAGAGTGTGTCTGACTTTCACCTGGGGCTAGGAGAAGCTCCAGAGGTTCTCAGGGAGCCCTCCCCTACATCTCTCCCCCCACCACAAAAACCTGCCAAGCACGAAGCCATCACACACCTAAACCAGAAAAGCCTGCAGACAGCCTGCATCCCCTCACCTGCTCATAGAGATCAATGAGGGTCTTGTCGGGCAGCTTCAGCGACTGTATGGCCTGCAGCACCGTGTCCCAATGCCCGCTGTTGATGTCAGCCACAAAG